AAATTAACAAGAAAGGTCAAGAGTTACTACAGGAGAATAGGGTAGGTGTACTGGTGGGGTCTTAGAATTGCAAGATCGTCGATTGGTGAGCTGTTTCTAACCTGCCATTGCCAGTCCAATCATTCTTCTTCTTCTCCTAGCCAACTTAACGTCCATATTCCAATAATTGTTATCTAGCTAAGATGTTCTTCAGCTCTCTGAAAGAAAAACATCATCACGCCTAAACCCAGTCATTTCTCAGGCTGCTTCTCGTACTTTGCTATAACTATAAGTGCTACCTAGTCAGTTAGGAATTCAACTCCTGAATTAGCAATTAATCCAATCTACTTTTGACATAATATTCGAAACAAAGTAGGGGACGCTCTAGTTGAAATGGGTTTTGATCAGCTTGTGGGGGGCACCGAAATCAGATGCATGTTACAGTTGATCAATTTACACAGCAACGTGCATCAGAGAGTGAGTAGAAAGCACAACATAGCCATGCCAAGGAAAAGAAGAAACATATCATCCATTAGAGGTGGTTCAGGCTTATGTGCCTTTCAAGGAACATGGTTCAGTGAATCTAGTAGCTTTGTTTGAACAATGAGCTCGTTAATTCTTTTTATTGCATCTGGATGGCAGCCATTCTTATTAAACTATTTCAATGTGCAGTTTTGCCACGAATGTGGTCATTAGATTTTAGACTTGGAGAGGGAATAAACAGGCAGGAGGCACATGCTCAACCCAAAATGCATTTAAAAATTACGTGGGCCAGTGGCTAACAACTACACGACCGCCTATCCTAGCCAATTCTTGAAAAAGAAATTCAGAGTACCTGGATCACTGGAATTTTATTTTACATTTTTTCTATTTTTAAAGAATTAACGAGCTTGTGATTTTTTAGACCTAATTTTGTCTTTAAAAAACTTTTCTTGGACTTAATTTTGGCTAATTAATTGTATTATTTTAATATTTTTTGGTTAATAATAATAGAATAAAAATATATAAACAATTCAAATTATTACCAATAAGTTTAGATTTAATAGATTTAAAAATCCTATAAAGTACTAAAAATTTATAGTTTTAGACAACATGTAGCCCAGTAAATCAAGAGGTCATCCTTAAAGAATAGCTCAATATCTTAGCCCAATACGAGGGAAGAGCTCAAGTTACTAACCTAACATATTTTAAATTTTCCTCTCTCTATGTCCTTAGATATATAAAAAAATATTTTAATGATCTATCATATTTCAATTTTATTAATACATATATAAGATATATTTATTTTTTATTAATACTATCAAAATAAAATGATTCTCCAACTCTTTAACTACATAAAATGATAAGATTTATGAGTTAAAAATACTTTATGAATCCTTTTTCAAGTTCCAGATTTACAATTTTTATTTTATACTGTATACATATTTTTAAAGTTTATCTTTTTATAATATCATTGTACTTTTTTTATTTACAAAGATATTTACTTAAACACCTAAGAATTTCTACATTTATTAAAAAAAAAATTATAAATACCAGCCACCTTAACTTACCAGATATCAGCTATTAATCATCTTAATTACAAGAATAGACACTAAGAGATTAATTGATTATTTATATTTCTAAATTATTTAAATTTTTTAAGATATCATAAATTTTATTTTTATTGGGTAAAGCATATTCGAATTAAAAAAAAAGTCTAATAAAGGGGGGAAAAATCAAAGAATCATCCAAAATGACAATTTTTCATCCCAATGTCTACCCCTACATCGATGTGTTCAATAGTTTCTCAAGGAGCCTAATTCTTAGTAGAGTTCGTGTAAATTTCCATAGATTTTGTCTTAATTCTAGTAGCTTGGAAAAAATCATCTAGTTAATTTTGGCTTCTAAAAACTTTTCTTGGACTTAATTTTGGCTAGTGAATTGTATTATTTTAGTATTTCGGGTTAATAATAATGGAATGAAAAGTTTAAACACATAAATTATTATTGAAACCGGGTCTCAATCTTTTTCAAAAATCTGAAAACTCACATCTTAAAGTGTAGCCTAACAGCCCAGCGACTCATCTGTTGAGAATTGCGCAACTCCGTGGCCCAGCCTGAAGGAAAGCACAACAATTTACCTATTGCAACTCGCAACAGCAAGGGGAAAGCTGGATAGCTTGGGCTTAAGGACTTAGATGTCTCATTATTAAATAAAAATTCTAGATATTTTATTATTGGATTTATTTATTGAACAATGAATTTGTTATAACTTTTCTTGCACTGAATGTCAAACATGCTTTTATTCTTTCTCTTTATTTGTTTTGTGAATGAATGTTATTTTAACTTAAACATGATTAAGTGTTGTCATAGGTTTCAATCCACTTCCAGCATTAAGTAGGGTTTTAAAGTTATGCTCCACTATGCGTAATTTGGGATCCCACTGCACTGTATTACATGCAGGGTACGAGATTCTCTGCGGGTTTTTTTTTTTTTTTTTCCGGCAGACTGCACCGCAAAAGCTGTTGGGTGCTCAGTTATAGTTGCAGATGCTCGTCTCATGTGGGTTTTATTGTAACAAATGAAGTTTCATATTCTGATTCAAAAACAAAAAGATTCTTGATGGTATGCTTTGGACCTGTCAGATCATGAGGAATATCTTCAAACGTTGTCTTTGTTTAGACTCTGTGAGCATGAGAGACACCAAAAGGGACGAAGCGTGTATGTCCAAAACAACGTTGCAGTATTGCCAGGGGAAAGGATGTTTTTTGTAGGGTTAGTGAATAGTGAGGTAATAAAAAGGCACATACAAAACATGCAGGAACACCACCCATCAAACACTTTTTTTTTGTTACTATTATAAATATTTGATATAATTTATGTGTATCACGAAGCGTGTATGTCCAAAACAACGTTGCAGTATTGCCAGGGGAAAGGATGTTTTTTGTAGGGTTAGTGAATAGTGAGGTAATAAAAAGGCACATACAAAACATGCAGGAACACCACCCATCAAAACTTTCTTTTATTATTATTATAAATATTCAGTATAGTTTTCGTATACCTCTATTAATTATATAAATTTTAAAATTAATAATTATATAAATTTTTAATATTTTTAAAATAATTCTAACTTTTAATCATTAAAAAATAAATTTATAATCTCAAGTTACATCAAGTTACGTAAAAACATTCTTAAGTGGATAATGAAGTTACATAAAAACATTCTTAAGAACTAAGGACTCGAACCTGAAACTACAGAGAAAACAAATCCCTTGATCCCAAATTTTTATCACTTGGTTACCACCTCTTAAATGGATAAGTAGCGTGCCCCTTGTCTCCTCTTCATTTGTTTAGCCCAGGCCTGAAATGAAACAGACATGGGGAAGTCTCTCACGTAGTCTAAACATAGTTAAGTTGAAAAGGTTCGTCTAGTTAGAATTAGGCTTGAGATTTATACTTGATCTGCAGTAGTGATTCCCTTTGCACATGTCCAATATGCCACTGATTATAAGTTGAGCTTAATATATTAGCTCACCTCGCCTTGAACTAACCTAGGTCACCTGCAACAGCCGAAGGCAGGGTGGTTGGGCCTGAAGTCACGGTTGCATTTGGGTGCCTAATGATTTACCGGTTACGGGAGCACCCGGTGAACAAGTTCCCTAGTGTTGCTTTGGGCCGTCAGGGCCTCCGCATGTGACCTGTAAGCATACTTGCCACACCACACCAGGTTTATCTAGGTTAATTTTAGGTAAATTCTGGGATCATCATGTCCTTTTAATGGCTTTAAAAACAATAAAAATATAAAAAAATTATAGGGTTTATCCGGGTTTGATGAATTCAAATTCAAATTAACCTGAATTTAATCAAATCAATATTTTAAAAAAAAAAAATGCGCTGCTTAACCTGAATTTAATCAAATCAATATTTTTTTTTTAAAAAAAAAACATGCCCTGGTGGATAGATCATCCAATCCACCCATGAGCCATACCGTGCTGGTTTTGAAGGTTGATTTATACACTGCAGACCGTGAAGGTTCCCTAAATGAGTTGGCAGATTATATGTTCTCAAAAACAAAAAAACAAAATCTTTTGGTAGAGGATGAAAAATCAATAGCTTGACAGTGACCTTCTGCTCATATTTAAATCTCATTTACGACAGGAGACAATTTCATTGATTTTAATGGGAAAAAAAAATCTATCTGTATTTCAACAAGAAGAAACATTACATCCTGCAAAATTCAACCCTACCAAGCCATCAGGTCCCTAAGAGCACACGTCATACTTCATTAACCATCTTCATCACAAGCCAACATTCCTTCTTTAATACACTTTGGCCAATTTATGGAAGGGATTATGGTAGTTATTGGTTTTCTAAATTACATTTTATAATTTTATTTAAAAATTTAATTTTTTTAAAGTAATTCTTCAACACTAAATAATTACAAGTTTAAATCTCATAATCCTTATTTATTTAATAAAAATTAAATATAAAAAAATATGAGCTTGAACACGTTTTTAAATTAAAAAATTTTCATTTAAAATAAATAATATAAATTATATTTTAATTAAATTTTTGAATTAAATGGTTCGTAGCACTTTTTTTTTCTCTGTTTAAAATGAAAACCTTCTCATTTTATAAATGTTAATTGATCAGTTGTCCACTTTTTTATTTTTTATTTTGATGGTGACGATCGTGTACATATTATTAATGGAATGCAAAGAAATTTTGGTTTTTAATTATTTTATTTGTTTGTTAGAAAAACAAAAAGTATTCATCCAAATAAAGTGATTAGAAAAATCGTCCTTGCACAGCTAAACGGTACCCAAGGATGCATGTAATTGGCTGATGGATATCGTTCTTCTCTTCTCTAAGGTGTTCGACTCCATTAATAACTATATTGTCCATATCCTTCACTCTCCTTTCAAGATTTGTCCTTTTAATATCACTTTGTCCATACTTTCCGTCCTCCCATGTATCCACGACCATCCACCTCCACATGAAATTTGAATCAATCTACCGTCACTGATCTTTTCCTTTTCTTTGAAACTCTTTCCGTTAAAATCACTAATGGAAAAGGACCAGGAGACTACCCTCCCCCTCCATAAAGAGGTAAAAGCTAAAGCAAACTACATGTAGTACATTACACAGACAGGCACCTTTTTTTCTCCAAAATTAATGTTTACTCTTTTCGAGGGTGCCAAGCAAGTTCTTCTAGAGAATAGCGCCTAGTACTGAGTGTTGTAACAGAAGAGAAAAGGAGTACCAGGGCTGCTGGATTTTCTTAGAAAAGAAGGATATGGAGAAGCTAACAGAACTGAGCCACCTTCTTGTGACAGTATTCCTCTCCAGCTTTGCTAGTTTAATGGTGATCCCGGCCATAACCGATGTCACCATGGTAGCAGTTTGTCCTGGAAAAGATGAGTGCTCTCTTGCGATTTACCTCTCCGGTTTCCAGCAAGCTGTATGTTAATTCCTTTATTCTCCTTCATCTTTCTCTTCACTTTTTCTTCTTATTAAGGTATGGATCTTCTCTAGGGTTATTGATTATGAATTTCTTTGCATGGTTTACATGATGACTAGCTATAACAGAACCAAAAGGTGTCCGAAATATTCCCCATGAACCCATTTTCTTCACTGGAAAACGATTAATGCATGCCCATGTGCCTTTTAATTATCACACAAGAGAATTAAGCCTTTTAATTTATCACACAAGAGAATTAACTATCTATATAAACTAAATAAACATACAAAAAGGGTTCGGGTGGTTTTCTGTGGACTTTTCTTATTGAAAAACATCCCGTGCTATACATCCAAGTGCCCTGTATATATAATTGTATCCCTGTAAACTTAATTTCTATGTAAATGTAGACCAAGCATGGACACGTAGATAGATGGAGTATTTTATTTAGCTGGCTGCAACTCTTCAATGGAGAGTCCCCTCTTCAGCACTCTCCGTTCTGCTCCACCCATTTTGTTCAACCTACCATTCAAACTTACCTAGAGAGATGTTGATGGCCATGTGTCCATATCGCACGCATAAGAACCAACAATATCATGATCTTTTTTCCTGGAAGGTTTCGCACTAACTGGTCGATCCAAAAAATTAAAGGACCTACCATAAAATGGTTGGGTTTCTTCAGAGAATTAATCATCCAGGCTAGGACAATTGTTTCGGTGTAAATAGCGTGTTCTATTTATTTTTATTCTTAAAAAATATTTTTGTATGCTCTCTGTCTAAACGCTAAGATGTGTAATATACGCCAAGTTTTTTAAACGCCTGATGGGTCCTGCTGCATTCTCATCACAACCAACTACTATAACAAGAAATAAGACTTTGGGGTTATAAGTGAAAGAGTCCATGGACTAATAATTGACGGCACTTCTAATTTATCACCATTGATGCCGTGAATGTATTTGCTTCAGTACTATTCCAAGGAATCCAGTACTCAAATGAAAGTGGGCAACAGGGAGAAGTAAAATGCAGTTAACTAATCAGCGAGTGGGTTTTTGCAGATCATCGGACTGGGGACAGTTGTGATGATGCCGCTAATAGGAAATCTATCAGACCAGTATGGAAGGAAAGCCTTGCTCACACTTCCTATGACTCTCTCCATTATTCCCTTAGGTAATATCTTTTATATATGTGCATTTGATTTCATATCTGTCGGTAAATTATTATTGGCCTTCCCCCCTAAGTGCTAGGATATGTATGGTCCTACTCATCGTGCCTAGGACATTAGGGCTCCCATTGACTATCGACACCATGAGTGGATAGTGCATCATTCGCGTGCATGGCGGCCACTTTCAATGGGCGTCTTTTCTTGAAAATACCTCATATTTAACTAGCACTGGATTCAAAGGTAACTGCATTGTCATGACGTTTCACGATCAAATCAGCTTGAACTTGTCAAGGATGTTGTCCATATCATGGGCAAAATGTCCCGCTGCTTTCATGTTTGCGTTTCTGCTTACCGTTTTTCCTCTGTTTTTTTTTAAAAAAAATTAATTATCAGAAAATCAATAAATAAAAATAAAAATATTTAAAAAAATATTTTTATTAATAAATTTTACTGATGAATACACTCTCAATGTATAGTATATATAGAGAGAATTATAATGAAAAAAAAAATTAACAAGGCCAAAAAAATAATGACACGTTATTTTTTACTAATAAAATTACCAACGAATTTATCATGAATACACTCTCAATGTATAGTATATATCATATATAGTATATATCGAGAGAATTATAGTGAAAAAAAAATTTAACAAGGCCAAAAAAATAATGACGTGTTATTTTTTACTAATAAAATTACCAACGGATTTATTTTGTCTGTAAAATTCATCAGTAATTTCATTGATAAAATATTAATATTGTTCATTGTGTTAATTAGAGATGAAATCACCAACAAAAATTTCATCGATATTTTTCAAAAAACTATAGAATTGTTCACTGTTCAATTGTATTATTAATTATTGTTTTTTAGTTTGTCTGTAAAATTCATCAGTAATTTCATTGATAAAATATTAATATTGTTCATTATGTTAATTATAGATGAAATCACCAACAAAAATTTAATTGATATTTTTCAAAAAACTATAGAATTGTTCACTGTTCAATTGTATTATTAATTATTGTTTTTTAGAGACAAAAGAGTGTTATTCGACGGATTTCTAAAAAAATCGGTTACATTGAAAATTTAAATTAAATATTATAAACAGAATCATCGATGGATTGAAAAGCCGTCAGTGATATTTGACGATTTCTAAAAACTTTTTATTAAATTAAAACACCTAAATAAAAATTTTGAAACCCCTAATTTCACAATAAATCAGGTTCTTTTTTTCTTCTTCTTCTTCTTTCCTTTCTTCTTTCATATATGTAAAAAATATCAATATTCATTTCTTTCTTTTCTCTTTTTTTCTATTTTTTTTTCTCCTTAACTCCTTTTATTCTCCTTCATGCTCAAGTATGTATTTTTCACCTTCTTTTTTCTTCTTAGTTTTTTTCAATTAATATAATTTATGTTTTTTTTTCTCTTCTTAGCTTCATTTGCAACTACATTGATTCTCTTCTTAACTTCATTTGCAACTACATTGAGGTAAGATTTTTTTTTAGTTTTTATTTTCACTATTTTTTATTTTGTTTTTAATTTTTTTCTTAATAATTATAAGAATGGTGTTGTAGATTTTTTTTTTTCCATATGAGATTAATTTTTAGATGATTTATTTATAGGATTTTTAAATTTTTAGCAAGTGCAACTTTATCTTTTTCATATGAATTTTTTTAGTTGAATTTATTTTTTCTTGTTATTTATTTGTTGAAAATTTGTTTGAGCTAATTTTCTCTTTCTTTTTTTCAAGTATTACATAGTGTTGATTTATATTAATTTAATTATTTTATAATTTTTTAAAATAGATTTTTTTAAAATATTTTTAAATAATTACCGATGGAATGAAGCGGATAATTTTTTTGTTGAATGCTTTTTTCATCGGTAAAATAATTTTTTATTACCGATGGACAAAAAATTACCGAGAAGGATTTTCTGACGGATCATTTTCGTCAGTAATTTTGTTAGTAAATTAATTACTAATGAAATGATAGTGCAAATACCGACCAAAAATTTCATCGGTAAATATAAAGATTGTAGTAATGTAAATCCTAATTAAAGAATCCTCTTCATGCCTATGTTATATGTGTTTTAAAAGTTATTTTGAAAAAAATTAAATTTTTTTATTTACTTCAAATTAATATGCTTTTAGTGTTTTCAAATCATTTTGATGTGCTAATGTTAAAAATAATTTTTTAAAAATAAAAAATCATTAACATGTATATTAA